TTTGGTGGTAGGTAGGATTCATGGATTCTGTTGTGAATATTCCTGTTACATCTCTATTTCTAAAAAAGAATTTCTAAATATTTTTGACGGATGTTACGAATCCATTCACACAGAATATTATGTAATCAGTCTAGTTGTATATTTCCGTTTCTTATTTTCATTCAACTGCATCTTTCGGTTTGACTGATCATCCTCATATGGCCCTGTGGTCAATTTAGCCTCTAAGAGAAATGACTACCAGGAATCTTCCTTGGGGTAAAGGGGCGGCTGGCGCGTAAGGCTGACAACCTCACTGTCATCTGTGAGGTGATTATCTGGAAACTGTGGGAGACTCGACGTCTCGCAACCACTTGGGCCTTCACGGCCTGTTACAGGAATAGCTTCATCTTTACCTTATTTATGCTATAAAATTAAAAAAAAAACAACAACACACTCTGTATTCAAAACAATATATTTTTTTGAGAAAATATAGAAATTTTAAATAATTCGTGAAAGAACATTTTTTTTTTAATTCTCATATTGGGGGGGTGGAATCCAGCTGGGTACACTCGGCACATCAGCCACTGATTGGCCTATTGTTCCTGCCCCGGGTGATTATGATGATGGAGAATTTGCTAGAACGAGATTGTCAGGGGAAACCGAAGTACTCGGAGAAAACCTGTCCCAGCGCCACTTTGTCCACCACAAATCCCACTTAACCAGACCCAGGATCGAACCCGGGCCGCCACGGTGGGAAGGCAGCGACTAACCGCTTGAGCTATGACGCAGTGTTTAGTTACTTATTACACAAGTTAGAGTCACTAATATTTACGTGTAATTTCACTTGCTTCGTGTGGTTGTGAGACTTCCGCCTCTCACAGTGCGAGAAGAACCCAGATTGGGGATGTCCGAGAACAGAGGGTTGGAGAGAATACTTGGAACTATGAGGGAGGAAGCAGCAGGAGAATGGGAAAAAATTCCATGTTTAGAAGCTTCATAATTTGTGCTATCAGTCAGGTATTAATTGTTTAGGGCGTCAATCAAAGAGGACGAGGTGGATGCAACATGTAGCAGACATGGCTAAAGTAAAGTTATCCCTGTTCTTAAGCAATTAAGCACTATGCCATGAAGACATAAGGGGTAGTGGAGGCACAGCTCCACCATTCTCGATCTCAGCACTAGATGGAAGGGAGTGGTTAGTTTCACACCCTTGCCGCTTTACACCCGAGGATAGATTCCCTGGTACCAATTGACAGGAGAGTGGGTAAGCCCCAGAACCGGTCTGGATGCTGTACATTAGAGAACAATTTCCTGTCCTTACCGAAAATCGACCTCTGGCTGTCCAGCATGTAGCAGGTCACTATACCGACTGAGCCATCCCGTCGAGAAAAGCACACAGAATTTTAAAGAAAAATTCTGAAGGGAAATAGACCACATTAGAGTTATGGGCATAAAGAGAAGATAGCGTTAATATCAATCTCGAAGAAATTGGGTATATTAAGTTGTGGAGGTTTCGTCTGGCTTAAGATAGGGTCTAGCAGCAAGCTCTTGCAGTGACAGCAATGAACTTCCTAATTCAATAAAACAAAGTATATTTCTTGAACGGATTATTTAGCAGTATTATTGTTATTATTATTATTATTATTAGAGGGGGTGGGTTTTCCCATGCACTTAGACCAGTTATTGGTCCATTGTGCGTCCCCCTTTAATTTCTACTGTCGCCATACCCTACCGGTGTTGGTGCGTCCTATCAGCCCCGTTCAGCCAACGAGGTCGGCCGTCGATACCTGATATTTCCCCCATCTACCAGAGGCATTGGAAACTACTTGGGCGGGATATTGTTGCCTAATTTTGCTCAGAGGTCTCCTAGAGACATGATCTTTTACGTGCTGTAAAGCTACGACACGGGACCCACGGCTTATCCGTCCTGGAGGACTTGTTCCCTGAATTTTTCCGCCCTTAAAAATTCCACGACCTCCGCCGGGTTTGAATCCGCGTACTTTGTTATTTAGCAATAAGTAGTATTGGCTCTTCAAGATGACCCTACTCCATGGAGTCGGGTAGTACTGCTATTATGAAGCCGAGTGAAAATAAACAAAACAAAATATATCTTGATAGATTAGCCTCAAAGCCATATAAATTTATCTCATAATTTCCTAGGAAAATGCTATACAAGATCTCTTTCATAAAATAATATCTACATGAGAAAACTGCTTTCTAAACGTCATTAAATAAAAAAGTCTTCAAGCCATATATTTTATGGAGATGGCTCTCAGTAAAGAGAAACTCAAATTAAAAAAAGCATCTTACAGCTCCGATGTTTGTTTTAAATTAAAATTCAGGAAGATGAACACCTGTGCTTTCCCTCATGTTTAAAATTCAACTCCGGTAAAAATAACATGTTTGTATTCGCGCTGAAATTGTACATGGTGTTCCCTTGGGGCTGAAAACACACAGTGCTTCTCACGAGGAGAGCTTCGTGTGAAGGCCTTTGAGAATTTACTTTCACCGAACTACTGGGTTCCCTAGTTTGTGTTGCTTTCCAGACAGAGGCGAGAAAACATAGCGAAACTTACAGATAAACAATATTTTATAAAATTTTTAAGGAATGGCCCAAGGTACAAAAACATATATTTCTGTTGTTTGAAACTTTTAAACTTAAATATTCGTTCGAAAGAGCCTTTGAATTTGATTAAACAGCTGGTTGGTGTGTTTTCTGTTGACAATCTTTCAACTCTGACATTGTGGGGGTCGTTTCTTCGTTTCATGACATTGAATCAACTGCCAGGGCTATGCAGAATTTCAGGAGTCCATGTTGTGGGTAAAGCCAGATTTGGAGCCAGTTTTACAGTGCAACAAACCTCTGCCAACCATTATCATCATCACCTTCCCGCACAAACAGAGATGAAGGTAACCATGGTACAGCAATAGAAGTTTTCTATGTTTTCTATGTGATCTGGGCCGAAATGTTGTTACAACCGGGACGGTTTGGGGCAACTAGTTAGATCCAAGAGTAGCGGCCTCCGTAGTCTAGAGGTAACGTTCCCACCTCATGACTCGTAGTATGCGGGTTCAAATACCCGGCGGAAGTCGTCGAATTTTTAAGGGCGGAAAAATTCAGGGAACAAGTCCTCCGGGAGGGACTTTAAGCCGTGGGTCCCGTGTCGTAGCTTTACGGCACGTAAAAGAACCTCATACCTCCAAAGGAGGTCACTGAGCCAAATTTACGGACGTTTCCCGCCCAACAGCAGTCTCTAATTCCTCCGGTAGATGGAGGAAGCATTATAGATACTTCTCAGCCAGTAGAGCCGGTCTCGCTGGCTGGGCGGGACTGATGGTAAGCACCAGTACCGGTAGGATATAGAGACTGGTAGAAATCATAGAGGGAAGCACAATGGACCGCTACAGGTCTAAGTGCATGGGGAAACCCACCCTCTCCAATAACTAACTAGATCCAAGAATGCTCAGTTGAAAGCCCGGCTGTGAAGAGAGGGCTTTATGTGTGATATTTGGAGTGTGTAATTCAACGAGACTGTTAAAATCTGCTGCCAGGAAACGACTAGTGGAGACTGTAATAGACCAAGGACCACGGTAGTCTGTGTGTATCAGTTTCTGTAAAGTGTACTCATGAGTTGTGAGGGTATAAGTGGTCAACAAATCGAGTCAGCAATCCAAATCCCGTCTATAGTCACTGATACACATGATAACTGGCGTCAGAAGTTGGATTCGAACCCATGCCCACAAGGAACGTCCCACAATCGATCACGCGGCAAATTCAATAGAGCATCTAGACGACCTATGCCCGCCACCACTTGAAGCTGGCCCATGACCGGATGAAAACTCGTTACGACAGACTGGCTAACTACCTACCACGAGGGCGAGCGAACCTCATGGGAGAGCTTACAAGCTGCAAGATGTCATGAACAGGATCCACACGAACTTTAGATCGAGTCACTACTCCAAAACTCTCCAAAATTCTTACATGATAATACGTATATTTAACGTGTGTGTAGCTGCATTCCATTCAGTCCAGAAGCTTTTGTCTTCTCGTCTGTTGTCCAAGAACATAAAAATTAGAATATACAAAACTATAATTTTGTCCGTGGTTCTGTATGGGTGTGAAACTTGGTCTCTGACATTAAGGGAGGAACACAGACTGAGGGTGAGAACAGGGTGCTGAGGAGAATATTTGGACCGAACAGGGATGAAGTGACAGGAGGTTGGAGAAAACTGCATAATGAGGAGCTTCATAACTTGTACCCTTCTCCAAGTATAATTACAATAATCAAGTCACGGAGGATGAGGTGGGAAGGTCATGTAGCACGAATGGGGGAGACGAGGAATGCGTATAGGGTATTGGTGGGAAAGCCAGAAGGAAAGAGATCACAGGGAATACCAAGGCGTAGGTGGGTGTACAATATTAGAATGGATCTTAGAGAGATAGGATGGGATGGTATTGATTGGATAGATTTGGCTCAGGATAGGGACCAGTGGAGGGCTCTTGTGAACACGGTAATGAACCTAGAGTTCCATAAAATGCTGGGAAATTCTTGAGTAGCTGCAGAATTGGCGGCTCCTCCAGAAGGGCTCAGCTGCATGAGTAAGTAAGTAGCTGCATTAGCTACATGCACTGAATTCAAACTAAGGCGATGCGTTGCTCGCAGTGTCACGTGCTATGGCTGAGAGATGAGTCATGAGTAGTAAAGGACTGCGACCGACTGGGGTTTTATCCTGGCATTTTCATAGAGGGACTGAGAAAAACCACAAAAGACCCACCAGAACATCTACTGAGATTGGAATGGAAAACCTCCTCAAAACGAGCCTATATAATTACTCTTCCATGACTACATGATATAATGATTTCAGAGAAAGCGGGCCGTGGCCTGTTCTGAAACAATACCCCTGACATTTTCCTGGATAGTCTGAGATAAATAAACTCAGAGGATGTAAGTTTTGAGGTTTTCACGGCGATGACAATGAAGAAAGTTGTCTTCTGGGTTTAGGCACCGTGTATTCTTCGTTTTGGCCGACGTTTCGGAGGAACGTAGCGCCTCCATCTTCAGAGCAGTTGAATAGCTGCGGAGAGCAGTAGCTCTCAGCTACTCAGAGGATATTTGTTACCCCGGCCGTGACTTGGTTCTGAACCCCTTTCCACACATTTTGATTCACTGTGCTTACATATAAAGGTAAGCCTGTTAACAGCAGGGATAGAACGAACAAAATGGCGTTACAAGATAATGCACGCTGTCAGTAGTGTACATGATTTGCATATTAACAAAAGTAAACTTGCATCCATTATCTGATGGGAGCCGATGTTATGTCATACTGGAGGTGAAAACTGAAGATGGGTGAGAAATTTGTTTTCACCCTCAGGAAAAAGCAAACTAACAAGACGTGGAGTATAACCTGACCTAAGAGGAACATGAAGTTAACACTGATGAAAGTTATAGTTTGCCACATAACATTGCTATGATAATCAAATCGAGAATTGGAATTTGAAGGAAACAAGAAACTCTTCTAAAAAATTTGTAGGAAGTATCAGTCAGCATCAGAGGAACAGATGTAGAAGGAATAATGTTATTGGTACAGACCTCAGAGAACTCGAACGTGGGAATGTAAACCCAGAATGGGCTGACTTGATCAACTTCTGTGGTAAGTGTGGCAGAACTGCATGTTCCATAGCAACAGTGAATTTCTCCTTGGGTCAATTCTTCAAAAAAAAAAAATAACATTTGTTGTTCTGGAAGGAAAATGAGGTTAGGAAAATTTACAGACATTTATTTCGTGTTACTGTAATAAATAAGAAAGAAAAGTGAAGTTGGGTCCATAGGACCGGCAGATAGATGCGAGAAATGCCCTATGTGTATTTAATAATATTGGTAAATGTTCCAAGACAACCTGTCTGCAGAAATATATTCCATTTATATCACCTCCAGTTGGGCACAAGAGACCAGCTCCTGTTCCATCCGTTCTGCTTTAACAACTACTGCAAAATCGCGAAACCAGAGAATTTTCTTATGTATACTTCTCCATATGGTACATGTCCCCTAAGAGGCGTTGAATTGGAATTTCGCCGATGGTTTCTTTGAAGAAAAGTTGTTCTACAGTTGCTTGTCGCACAGCCCTCAAGCTTGGTACCAGCAACAGAAGACGGCCAAACCGCGTAGGCTGACGTGGGTAGCGACTTCTGACGTAATCCCCCAGGATGCACTGCGCCTGGTCCTGCAGCATCTCCACAGGCTGGACGTCACACAGGCCCACTGTTTCTGGACGAAAATGAATGGCTACAATCAGCGTTTGAGAGGTCAGTCTCCGATTTAAAGCATGTAAATCCCCGTAATACAAAATCGCGTCCACGTCTTTAACTAAATTTCTAACCGAACTCTGCAGGCAAACAATCAGTCAAAAGGAATGTACTGAAGAGCGAAAGACACGGGTCATTGGGCGTTTTCTTTTTGTCACATTGTCTATAAGGGCCCCAGGACCTCCTTCTACAATGTGTACTGGAGCTTCTTCCCCGTGGGGCAAAGATACCAGAAGCATAAAGAGTCTTGATACAGTTTCGATGTTAAGAATATGTGGAACTCTTTATAGAGGCCCTCAACAAGCTCCCATGACATAGTGTTAAGCACAGAGATATAGTCTTCTTAATTATTGTTACCATTCCAGATATTTTCAGTAAGAAACAATGGCACAGATTTTTACTGTTAGTCCAGCCAAGCGTGATGTGAGATATATAGACTGCAACTAAGGATGGCGACAGTCATGATAACAGAGAGGCTGTTGCGCCCCATCGCAAACAAATATGCATTGCACTTTCCAAGCTGAAAAAATTAAATAGATTATTAGTTATTTGGAAAATACCTCATTATGGATTTAAAATATTACAAACCACTCACCTGGTGTAAAAAGGATAACCGCCTTCATACAACCGCATTCACTGCCATCTGGAGAGAGCTGGCGGAACCTGCCCATGATTTCCTAAAAATTAAATTCAGGGTTGGATAATAAAACTATCTTGGAAAAAACGCCTATGTATTGGCCTGGAGGGCCACAATCCAGGGATTAACATGCAAGGAGATCAGGCACCTACTTATTATGATAGAGTTTAATTTCGTAATGAGCCAAATTATGATTACGAACTCGTACGTAATGTGGTTTAACTCGGAAAATCATGAACGTAAATAGCTTGTTTTTTGGACCTAATCATATCTATATTTTGGAGCAGGCCTACAATATGGGATAAAACTTGGCCCAATTTGAGTATTCGTGCTGATTCATACAGCAGGCTTACTTACGTTGTCCGAAGAAGAATTTCTGGAAATGGTTAGTTAGTTAGTTAGTTAGTTATTGGAGAGGGTGGGTTTCCCCATGCACCGCGACCAGTTTGATCTATTGTGCATCCCTCTATGATATTCTACCAGTCTCTATACCCTACCGATATTGGTGCGTACCATCAGTCCCGACCGAGCCAGCGAGTTCTCTACTGGCTTGGCGGTATCTATAATGCTTCCCCCATCTACCAGAGGTATTAGAGACTACTGTTGGGCGGGAAACGTCCTTGAATTTGGCTCAGCGACCTCCTTTGTGGATATGAGGTATTTATGGAAATAACTAATTGCCTACTTTCCTTTCATACGACATGGACCTCATAGAAAACGACGACGCGTCCAACAATTCTTCGTGGCTGCGGGAACATGTTTACTGAGCCGTTGCCTAGCAACAATAGGGGGATACATATAAAGGCACACAGATCATTCTCTTCTGGATCCACTATTCTGGCTTTGAGGCGTTAGGGGAAGTGGATACAGCCACATAGACAGCAAGGCGATCTCATAAGCTTCGTATTTCTACAAGGTAGAGGAAGTGGACTAAAATGGCGAGGAACATAAACATTTTGGAGTAATATACACGATAAAGTGGATGAAAATGCAAACATTTAATTATCTATCTTGATTGTGACATCTTAATTTCTGAAATTAAGCCTGAGGTTCAAATAATGGGCCAATTTTCAGGCACATTTCACGATGAAGTGAAGTAAAAATTTCGAAATAGAAAATAATTATTAAAATATAACAAAAGGATCAATAACCTCTACTTCCAAGTCTTTTTCTTTGAATAAAGATGGGTTAGTAGCTCTGTAATTTTAAGCATTTTTCTTTACATAAATTATAATATTTCAAAGACTGCAAGCCCTAACCATTTACAATTGTAATACAATGCAGAATGGTGAGTCACTATGCATAGTTGCCAACAGCACTGAGAGGAATTACCTGTATGGTTTTGATTTCATTGTTGGTAATGTCGTCCTGAGGGAGGCGGTCCCTGGCCTTGCTGCAGCCGAAAAGCGCTGAGAGGTCCCAGGGAATGGACCACTGCGCCAAGTGTAGTAAGAAAAGCTCTTTCCAAGACTCCTGGAGTAGCAGCAGCTGCGACCAAGCATTGTGCAAGTAATTATTCTGACTAATCTCTCCACGTCTGTGACTGAAAACAGAATTCTGGCATAGGCTCAAGGTACATCCTCCTCTTAGTGTTGTCATACGTAAACACACGAATACAACAACTCTACTATTCTACTGCAACACTGAATCTTATAATTTCATTCAGCGCTGCACGTTCTATTGTAGTTGACATGAGAAGATTATATGGCTTCTGAAGGGTTCTGACGATGATGTGTTACGCTTATTATTAGGCAAATTATCTTTCTAAATATAACACAATATTTCAACAGCTAAAACTCCTACCATCATCAAACCATTAAGTGGCTGGGACTTGCTCTTTCTAAGAAACCCAGCTGAGTAAGTACCCTTCACCTGAGGATGGGAGCAATTTCAGCTGTCGAAACTTTGTGTCCTTTTGCAGAATATCTAACAATGGACAAATCCAGAAAGACAGTAAGACAATTATGATTCATGATATATGTAGCTTGAATAGAAGAAAAAGAAAAAAAATGGTTGCAGAATTTTGATGAGAAAACTTCTTGGAAGATTGAGAAAAGTAATGTTAAAATGGAACTTCTGGAAATAGTGATAATACGAATTGAATTTAGCTGGCTCAGAGCAGGACTTTTAAGCAGAATTAGGAGTTGCACTTTTAGGTTTAGATAACATAGAACTGCAGATAATTAATATGATACTTAGTTTCCAGGGCACGAGGTATGAAAGAGATATCAAAACAATGGATTAAAATACTTGCTGACTAGATTATACAAAACATTTACGCTTTACAAATACAGACAACAGATTGACCACAATATCTGCGGTGTGACTGTAGAATAATTATAATATTCAGTAGGTATAACAGTCTTTAGCTCTAAGAATCTTGTACTTAGTTTGAAATTGCATTACTCTTCTTCATGTTCCCACACACACCCACTTTACCTGGTCTCTTTTGGATAGCGTTTGAAATGGCGCCAGGCACCGGACCCACCTCACTGCCATGAACAGCAGCCGTGCTGTCGTCTCCTGCAAGATATGCAACACAGAATACAATTACAGACGAACCTCTGCTTACGAACTTTCAGGAGAAGAGCAGTTCGTATTTATGAACTTTGTGAATCCCCAGTTAATTTAACGAACAGAGAACCCAGCGCTTACGAATATGTTAACAAATTAATATTAACAAATTTCACGGTAGACCCATAACTTACGGAAATATATAAATTTAACTTACGAACACATTTCAAAAAGAAGACATTACTCGCATGTTCGCAAGTTTGGGTTCTTTATCTTGCTCCAATGTGAGCTAAAATAGTTGTTGTCTCTTCGTGTAATCCATGACAACGGGATACCTTGGCTGAATGTGGCCTATAGGCATTATTTGTAAAGGAGGGATTTATGCCCCCCCCCATGCTTTTACAGGGTATGAAATATGAATTCTTTTTTGTAATGGAATTTCCTGACAGCATCAAATGAAGAACCTCCCTCGTCGAATTGAACTAAACTCTGTGCAATGGAGTCTACGTTCAATATGCCACAGACAGACTGACAGACGAACGGGTGGTGAACACATGTTGCGGGAAAATCTGTGTTAGGTAAAGGTAAAAGGTAAAATTGTCCCTTGCTTAACTAAGTACGCACTACGCCATGAAGGCGTGTAGGGGAGTGGATGTGTAGATCCACATTTTCTTGACCTCGGTATTAGCTGGAGACGAGTGGTCAGCTTCATACCCCTGCCGCTCACCCCCGGGGAAGAGTCCCCGGTACCCAATGTATAGGAGGATGGGTGGAACCCAGAGCCGGTCTGGACGATTGGAGAAGAGAAAATTCTTGACATTACCGGGACTCGAATTCCGACCCCTCGATCGTCCAGCTCATAACCAGTCGCTATACCGACTACGCTAGAGGACCTCTTCTAATATAGCAGTCTAACAATTCTCGAGTTTAAGAGACGGCCCAGGGAACTTTTTTTAACTGTCTCGAAATCCTAAGTCCTAGAAAAATGAAAATATCGAAGGCTTCCTCCTGGACGTAAAATACTGTTCCGTTTGTTTCTACAGCTTTTATTTGTAACAATTTTCGCTCCGATGGATAAGGATATCCAAAGAGTTACGTTTGAGATGCAAGCAGAAGGACACTTGCGTTTTCCAGTAGCCCTAACTTCCGTTATTGTTGTCCGAGTGAGATTTCAAGTTTCCATGGCGATGACTATGACAGCCTACTACTGCATTCTTCAATGTGACGCCGTACAGTCTGGTACAAGTTTGACGGCGTTTTCTGGAAACGTAGCGTCCACCTTCAAGGCCTAAGACCTAATCACTTACTCTCCTTGGTGCTGTCTTTCTTGGCTTACTCTTCGATACTGAAGATGGAGGCAGGATGTTCCTCAGAAACTTCGGTGAACTAGTACCAGACAACTGAGGACAGTACACTTAAAAACTTAATTTCCTAATAAATTGTGGTGGAAGTTGTGATGGGTCTGCTGAAAGCTTAGGCGCTGGCTGATCCAGCCATGAGCCCTGCATAAGGCATTCCTTTTGCTGCATGAATATCGAACTAGCCAAGTCAACAACGTGATCTTTGTGGGGGGCTCATGAAGAGACAGAATCACACTCGGGGCCGCTGTTGTGCCACTTACTAACAGTCTCATAAGATAGGCGGTAGTGCAGTATGTTAGGAATTAATTTTCGCGCACTAGCAACATCCTGGACCACATTTCGTGAATGCGCTTGTTATGGATTGTTTGCGGCAACCAATGGGCGTTCAGATGTTGTTGGCTTATTGGCGGTTTGTCATCTGGGCGTCGGTAAAGTCACTCACTGTTGCTTGGCCTACGGCAAACCAATAGGAGAACTTCTCTTGGAGAAGTCAATGCAGGGGTAGCCAATGCGCGAACAGGAAGGAGACAGACGCAGAAGTCAAAGGGATGCTGGGAGGAAGAGGTTTCAGGCAGATGTCAGTCACAGGAGCAGTGCGTGATTAGCGTTGCTACGGAGCATATAGCAGGCTTTACCTAGGCTTGTCTCCAGGATAAAATCGATAGGCTAATACACGTTGCTTCTCTCTCCTAGTATCTCAAAATAAATAGCCAAACGTCGCCTACATTATTGGGTGGGCCCATAAATTTACAAATAAACTTCACGTTGATATAAAAAACAAAATAAAAGTTATCCCTGAGGGTAGCAGTAGAGGCCCCATAGGGTTGTGAGATGTCGAGGCTTTCATATTTTCTAAACAATCGGTCCAGCTTCACGCACTGGCCTGGAAGATTCCTGGAAAGACTAGGTCAACTGAAAAATCAGATTGACCTCATTGAGAATCGAACCCGAGACCTTTAGGCTTCTAGTTCCTAAAAATATTGATACTTTATAATCAGATTTGTATTGTTTTTTCTTCTTTACGCACAGAAGCAGGGAGATGAACACGTATAATAAGTAGGGGTACAGTCCGCTGATGTGGAATGTGAATAAGCTAAAATAGATGAAAGAATTAGCGTAATTTGGACTATACTTGCTTCCGGTGTCGGTGGCTTTACGAACTGTCCCACAAATATAACACAACAGCCGAACTGGCTGAGTTACCAACCAGTTCACCACAAATGCTTGAATAATTAATTATTTCTCGAAATCAGGGACAGGTAAGGGAGCTGTAGTTGGCTTAAATGAAGTTTAGACCTCAAGTTCTTGGGAAAAATTTCGGGAATTCTGACAAAAGTCATTATCCGGCAGTTGAGATGGAATTACGTAAATTTTAAGTTTTCACTTTAGGTTGAAAACAACAAACAACGCGGAGAAGCAATATTATACTGAGGTCCATTTCTTCAGTTGGTAAGTTCAGAGATTATACAATATAGGCGAAATTAATTCTAACGAAAATCTCTCAGGTCTATTATGATAAAATTATGAACATTTTCAGGATATGGGATTATCTTGATAAGTTTAAAGGAGTGTAAACCTATGCTAGCAAAAATTTTTCTGAAAAGTCGATTAATTGAAAATATCCGTCTTCTGGCATGTGGGGCCGTGTAGATATTATATAAACCGACGTTTCAGAGGAAGGTATTGCCTCCATCTTCAGGGTAAAAAATGTAAAAATCCTCGAGCGAGGTAACCAGCGTGAGCAGGTGGCTGCAGACTAAGTCTCTCGCTTGTTCCTCGCTCGCGGATCTTTTCCTTCTTTCCTTCTACCCTTAAGATGGAGACGTTCCTCTGAAACGTCGGTTTATACAATATCTATACGGCGCCACATCCAAAAAGATGGCATTCTTCACAGTCACCGCCGTGAAAATCTCAAATCTTGCATTGTGCAGATCATTTCCACGAACGGTTTAAAAAATTCACAAGCGGTAACTTTGAAAATAATGTAGATGCTGTAAAGTTGTTCCTCAGCTGCTTCATGTGACGTAGCCAGGAGTTCTCACTTTCAGCATTAAATTTTTCCATAAAGAACAGAAGAGGGCTGCCCCTATAATTAGTGTCCTTTGGTGATTCTACTTTACAGGGGGCTCAGAAGCCAGTTAACTTGTTAGGTAAGTGTCTCAAATAAGACACGTTAGAAATGTAGCATTGCTCCAAATGGGACTTCACATGATCACTGCACAACTTGACGGGCAGGCGGGTTAAAATCTCAACATTCCCATTAATACGACAGGATGTGTAAGGTAACTGATTTCCGGGTCACTCCATATAACAGAGCATATCCTGTACTTATCAATTTACGTTGCAAAACCCGAGAAACATTTTTTCTGTACCCGCCGCCCCCGCCGCCCCCGGGAGAAATCTGTTTTTGCTGTGTAGTCATTAGCTCTCCTGCATCATATGTGACAGATTCTGAAGGTCGATCATACTTCCAAGTTCTTATTTTTCCTCAGTCAATTCAGGTTAATTCCATTATAATAGGTCCTCCTTAAAATAGGCCACAACAACTTCCTTGCATGCTTTTCTCAAATCACTGTTTAAGCCTTCTAGCCTTCGTATCTCATTCTAGGCCATACGCCATTGTTCACTCAGCTGATGAGAAAGAATTTTTAAGTAAGTCTACGTGGAGAATATCGAGAAGGGAACGCAACAACAAATTCTCTATTTATTTGGGGGCCGCTACGATGCATAAGCAAATGAAATTTGTTAAGGCCCATGTGAGACTATGAAGCTAGCAGCCATTTGGCAGGTGAAGTGGTGAACTGAACACATCACACTCACCTGGAGGACTTCCCACGTAGGCGACAGAGCGAGGGGTAGGGGGCTCGGCTGGGGGATGCTAACAGCTGACAGTCGCTCCCCATCATTCAGCTTCGCGCTCCAGATGAACTCCTGTTAGCAATTTAGTCAGGCGCTTACATCTCTAGCATTTTGCCATCTCACAAGAAAGAAAATGTTTATTTAAGGGAAGAAATAGTGAAATATGTTACAACAAAGAGAATATTCACAAGGCCTAGTCCGTAAAGCTGAACAATTCCGTATTAAAATAATATTTTGACATGATGACAGTATAGTTTAATAAAAGAAGCCATCCGCTACTACGCAACAGCCGGTAAACAACAAGTGACAGTTGGTAGATACGCACACAAAAAGACAGGAACTGCTGGAAACTGTGTTTTTATTGGATTGCGAGATAGTTGCCAGCCGGTAAAACCATTGGCACGGAAACTGAGGAATCTGTATTGTTGGGAACCGTTACCAGGCAACGATTAGTGAAGATAAAGCAAGAGGAGAAAATTTGGTGTGTGCTATACAGTCTTGAAAGAAACTCAGACCCATGTAAGAAACCAAACTGAAAATTAGCACGTGCCAGACGGGTGGCACCATTAGAAATAGCAGCCCAGTCGGGGAGTCCCATAAATCTTGCAGTCTGCACTCACTGGCTATTTCTGTTGCCTTCTTGCTGTCATTTCAGAAGGACGATAGAATGTTTACACAGAGCGTATGGAATGTGTGGGGCCTAGCACACATTTATATCTTGGTGATTATTATTATTATTATTATTGGAGGGGGTGAGTTTCCCCATGCACCGCGACTAATAGTCTATTGTACGTCCCCCTTTAATATTCTACCAGTCTATATACCCTGCCGGAAATGGTGCTCGCTATCAGCCCCGTTAAGCCGGCGAGGCTGGCTGAGGTACCCGATGCTTACCCATCTACCGGAGGCATTGGAAACTACTTGGGCGGGAAACTTTTTACCTAATAATTTTGCTCAGAGGTCTCCTAGAGACATGAGGATCTTTACTGATAATGAGTGGATTAATGTAGCATTTCTTACCTAGAAGTATGACGTAAGTAGGCCTATCTGTAAAATGTAACACAATATTTTTATTTAAAACGACGTTTCGGAGACTGGGCTATGTCTCTGTTCTAGGTAAATTGCCTGTCTGTGTTGAACGGTAGGAAAATAACAGGTTTCGTGAGATTCCATTGGAAAGACAATCATGTGACACGTGTGTGTAGCAACGGAAGTTTACCTGACACTTCTCGGCTGACATGAGGATCTGCAGAAGGCCTGGAGGGGGCGGCTGGTGCGCTAGGAACATGGCGGCGGCCGGGGGAGGAGCAGGCACTGTGGCGTGATCTCCCCCACTTGTCGCTGCTGCGATCGTCGAGTGTTTGACCGGTGGCGCCGCCCCTGGGAACAGCAATTTGGCTGACGCACTAGAAGCTGCATCCACAGGCGCCTGTAAAACTGGCACCCCGCCAAGTGCTGGAGGCGAGCCCATGTGGTGATGGTGGTGGTGATGGTGGTGCAGATCCTTGCCGTGGTGCTGGTGGTGCTTCGGCTTCCGGGGGCCCCGCTCGTGCTGCACTGCTGCAGTCATACAAGAACACATGGAACAAAAACGGCCTCGGTTAGCTAGCTAAACCCTAACGGGAACCGGAACCACTACTGTGCGCCAGAGATATTGGCGGCGGTAAAGCAAACTATGAAACTGATGTTTTCTGTGCTTTCTTGTCGTAGCGGCGTCATACATTCATATCCGGAGCTATTTATGTTGTTCCAGGCTCGTTAGGCTCCTGAGGCCACAACCCACACCCCATGAATCGCAGATAACGACAGATTATCGTATCATTGTCGCTGCATACTTCCTGTCGTCGAATTATAAGGGTCGGACGGACGAGGCTCGATTTCAGAAGTGACGTAAGCGTAACTACCGTATTTACGCATGTATAGGCCGCACACTTTTTGCCAAAAATTCAAGAGGAAAACTGGGGGGCGGCTTATATTCGAAATATTCGAAATCACAATTCATTTAAAAAAAAATATATTCATAATTAGTAATACAGAGTGTTCTACTCCTGAAATAATATTCCAAGAAAATTATTTTTTCTATAATTTCTGTCTGAAAATTGTGCTGCGGCCTATACACGCACGCGGCCTATAGCCTACAAGCGTAAATACGGTACTCTGTGCTTTTCTCTTCGCCTGCGAGAGACACTGAGTCTACTCCGCGTGTAGTCTACCTACCAGGCGCTCGCGCATTCTCCTGAGGCAAAGATGACAGAAGCTTGATACCGGCTACACACGTCAACCCAGAGCCAAGGTTAAGAACGCGCCTAATCCACTGTTCACTTGTGTATTTCTAGGCACAGAAATAATTATATTTGCTCCGGATCTAGAGCGAGGTCCTGGTTTTTTGACGTAAGCTTTTCATGTCAATTCTAGATCTTGCAGAGCCGAATACTAGGATAGTATTTTAAACTGGGGTTTGCTTCTAGGTTCACCCTTTCCTTCATTATGTCCCTTGCACATTCAACTTTACGTAACTTTCACATAGGAATAGAAAGACGTGAAGCAACTTTTACAGCTGACGCATTGTCGTCAAATAGCATAGCTTATGAATAAATGCACACCCTGTATACCCTGTGGGTTCTGTCCCTTCCTCAGCGCCATCTCTAAGCGGATCCAGTTTTGAGATTCCCTCTCGTCTCGTCTCGCCTTATCTCCACAGACCCCTCGGCTCTATTTAGCCCGAGCCGCACCAATCCTTCTTAGCGCCATTACACGGGGAGAATCTGCAAATCCTCTCAATACGGGGGAAAAGTCGAAACATGTTCAATCATTTCTGCTCCGTCGTGAAGTGCGCCAGAGCTTTTCAACATGTTAACCCTCACTGGCGGCGCTTTCGTAGCGGATGAAGATGAAGGCCTGCAGTGTTCCCGCGATTTTGTTTTCTGTGCAAAGGAATAAAATGGCTTCAGGTACATGCAGCTGTAATTTCACCTTTAGATCTCTTGCTTCAACAGGAAAATTCTTTATTGAAGACACTGTAGTCGGAAGGGCTAAGCAGGCAGCCTTGGTGTTTGGGATGGACGGATTAGTTGCTCCATTAATCAATGCTGGCAAGTGTCGCTCCCCATGAGAGATAAACTGATGCTATTAGCACGGCCAAGGGTGAGATTTGCAAAGGAACACGTGACGAGTAGATTCTAGTACTTGGAGAACACTTTTAGCAGTGAGCATGACTTGGATTTTATGTTTTATCCTTTTTTTTCTTTTCAGTGTTCCTTCTTAGGACATTTACAGTGGACTCCTGTCAGGCCGGGGCTTCATTTGGTCACGAGCATTGATATTAGGCATATGGACCGTAAGTGACTGATTTTCGTGACAACATAAACTTACGTATATCATGCTATTCGAGAGACCCAGTTCTGAACCATGTTACATTGGTGACGTCTATCAGCGTGGTAAATGAGAGAAACCGTACAGCCTTTTCCTATACCTATGATAACTTCCCATTAAAAAAATATGTCTGCCGGTAAAGTCACGCTCGGTTTTAACATCAAGTTGGAAACATAAAGTACACCGGCGGCAGATGTGCGAATTTTAACTACCGGTATACGTGCCGACTGGAAAAATGGCAGCCAATGATGATAGGTCTCTTAAATGTGAGACTATATGTAGGAATTGTGCCTACCTTGGAAAGCAATAACTTGCTTCCCGCACAAGAACTCCGTGACCATAGAAGACAGAACTGTGCGTATTTCCATGTCGCTAGCATATGACCTACGCAGCTGATACGGAGCCTATAAATACCTCGTGAACCGAGGCAGTCACCAAGAAAACTGACCTGCAGGAAGTGATGTTGATTCCCATTCGAGAGTAGTCGGTACGAATCCCGGCAGTGTACCGAATATTTTAAGTATTTTCCTCAGTTCCTCCAGGTGGGTCCTGGAATTGTTTATCTTCACTTCCACTGCTAGTTATCTCAATTTATTTATGCTGTTTTTAAAACTTACATTTTATCCACAATATTATGTCATGACAATTTTCTAGACTTATATAATTATTTTACGAGTATCTTTTGTAAGAAAAATATTTGAGCTTCCTTGAATTTCAAAATCGACTTGGGTAATGATCATTTGTAAAGCTACAGAATTTGTCATTTCATAATTTGTTCAAATGATGTCCTTTCTGCCGCACACGGCACTGAATCCTTTACTCATTTTTAATGCCTCGGTGTTATTTATTAGTAATATCGTAGACCTACTGGATTTGGTAAGATATTTGATATAATTAACCGGTCAATCAACTAACCCAATCGCAGCCATTAGGTTAACTGATTGATGGCGTGATATAAATTAGCATTAATCCCATAAAAGTGCATAAATCTTTTAAATTGCGGCAGCGGAAGTCTTCCCTTTCTAACAGAAACGTCGTGAGAAGGCTGGGGTGTACAGTGAAGCGATAAAAAGCTTATTGAATCACATCCTATGCCCTGGCAGCAAGGGGAGCAAGGAGCTGGAAAAACAGCCTCTTCCTGGTATCAACGTTTCTCTCGCTTGCTTCTTCACTCTTCAGCTTCAGTCTTCTCCTTCCCCTGTTCCTCACATCATCATTAATGGGGTTTACCACAAGAACAGCACCGGCTCTTTCCCAGGCTTCTCCATGGAGCAGAAAGCATCAAGAAGTATAGGGGTTACATTACAGTGCAGTACACCGTGGCAAGGTGAGTTGTTTCTCTCTCTGCAAGGCTCATGCTGACTCTCAGAGCCTTAGTTCCTATCTTACCAACGGGTATATCTCTGAAAAAAGCAGTCTTCTGGGATTTGGCAGTGTATATGTGGTGTTAACCGACGTTTCGGAGGAACGTATCGCCTCCATCTTCAGGGGAGAAGGAAAAATATAAGAAATCCACAAGAGAAGAGACCGTGAGAACCGGTAAAAGCAGACTGCTTGCGGATTTCTTATATTTTTCCTTCTACCATGAAGATGGAGGTGATACGTTCCTCCGAAACGTCGGTTAACACCACATATACACGGTGCTAAATCCCAGAAGACTGCTTTCATCATAGTCACCGCCGTGAAAGCCTCAAATCTTACATAGTGTATATCTCTCTTGGTTTTTCTCAGTGAGTTCCAAGCAAACAAACGCTCACTTTCTGGAAACAGAACCCGGACGTTTACAGTCTAAGTAATAAAGACCGTCATGTGATACGCTCTTCAACAAGTTAAATCCACTTCACAGCCCCATAACCTATTTCAATAGCAGGAGTATTCATTTTAATATTATGCTCCAATCTGATATTCAGTCTTCCAACAGGTCTTGTCACCAAAATTTTGAATAGAATTTTGTATTTCCTCCACCCTGAATGTGTAGTTCATTACAATATTAATGACACGCGAGAGCCATATATATACCAGAAAATACTGTGACTTCTTTGTATGATGCGTGGAGCGGCGTTAGGTTTATTCTCGAAGTTGCTCAACCAAGTTTTATACAAGTTTTTATTTGGACATTCACTAAAATTTGCCAGGAAAATAGTTTTGTTTCGTATCTTTTATCGGACTTACAGTCCTATCTATAACCCACACATTACATGAAACTGAAATCTAAGAATAAACTATTATTTCTTCTAAGGACCGGACCCTCACATGAAGGAACAGAAAGATTTACGTAACATAAAATATGTATGTCATTAATAGCTACAAATTCATTTCAGATGTTTTTTCCTTGGCACTACAGCCCCAATGGGCCTGGGCCTACCTACATGAACTTCTCCGTTCACTTCGTTTTTTCTAGATCTTACACATTCGGTAGGACTCCTTGGGCGGGTGATCAGCTCGTCGCAAGGCCTCTACCTGTACACAAACACAGAAAAACGCACCCACACAAA